TTGAAATGTTTCAAAACTTTCAAAAAGTTTCAACTGCCCTCATTTCATTTCAAGGCTGTTTCGAAGCCCTTCGTTTCATTTCAATTTTGCTGTTTCGAGCTTGAAACGAGTCAAAACAGCGTCGAAACGAACAGCCAGTGAAATTTCTCACAGTCCTATTAATCAGGGCCAGAACAGTATTCCACAGTGGGAAAAGGTGTCTACATGAGTCTACACACATCCAAAGCTTAGCAGGTATTGCCCATGGCTGTCATTGGGCCAGGGCAGGTACACTGTCTGAGTCCGTCTTTGCTTTTGGTTGTTTCAGAGTTGGTGTGTCTCCCTCAGATTCAGCTGTTCTTTTATATATTTTGGAGGATCAGAGGTACAGTTCTCCTGAGCCAGGTAAAAGCTTTCCCATGGAGGGAAGAATTTCAAAGGCTGAGAACTGGCATATCCAGTCATGGAATTTTGCATTAATCCCTTGTCCCAAATGATTCTGTTGGAAATGCATCCATTGAAATAGGGACATTAGGAAACAATTTCCCTTGATACAACTGCCTTTATAGTATGTCACACATAAATAAAATAGCTCTGAAATGATTCCAGAACATCACCTCAATAGACAACTGGAGAAATTGTAGATTTTGATAGGAATACCCTGCAAATGAAAGGTGATGAACTGACAGGGGTGGCCTGTTTGACATATTTTTGATAACACATATAACGCAAACTCCAAAGAAAACAGCTTGGGTGAAAAGCTATCTGTTAAATAGCATCATAAGAAAGTAGGGCTGGGAGCATTGGTGATGCATAGGGGCTGCATGCAGGTGCATGTGCACCCCTTGCAAAAAGCTCTGCAGATGCTGCTGGTGGTGTCTATGGGTGGTTGCCACTCACTACCCCTCCCCCCGCAGTGGCACCCCCCCCTCGGTAGCATCTGCAAGTGGTTGCTGACTGCTGATTGGCACTCGCCAACTCTCCCCACCACCCACTGCCGACACTGCCATGGCCGCCTGCGGGAGCTCCTCACTTGCTGCCGACTGACCCCTCCTCCACTGCCTCTGACACCTGCGGGCGGTCATGCCCCCCCCAGACTCTGGGGGCATGCGGTGTTCATGGCTGGAAGGGACCTCAGAAGGTCATCTAATCCAGCTCCTTGCTTGAAGCAGGATCATCCCTGACTAAAGCATCCCAGCCAAGTATCTAACCTGCTTTTGAAAGTTTCCAAGGATGGAGATTTCACAACTTCTCTAGGCAGCCTGACCACCCTCATAGTAAGAAAGTTCCTTTTAATCTTCAGCCCAAATTTCTACTGCTGGAGCTTGAGGTTATTACTCCTAGTCCTGTCCCCTACTGCCACAGAAAAGCATCTAAATGCCGCTACCCCTTCTGCTAATTGTGCGGGCCGGGAGCGGTCTGAGGCCTTCAGGGGCGCGCGGCGGGCTGTGGCCAGCAGCACTGGCACGTGGGTCGGGGAATGCAGGCCGGCAGACTAGAATTAGGCACGGACGCGTAGCGGTTGATTAAAGATTATTTTACTTACACCGTAGATGGTCGTGGTGCAGGCAGGAGAAAACTTCGCTTAAGTTGCAGTTACAAAACTCGCTCGACCAAGACCTGAAGAAAAACTCGAGCCTCTTGTTACCAAAACCCGCAGAAAACTGGAGCCTCTTGTTAATAACCTGGATAGAGCTCTGGATACACACACACAGAGTTTGTTAGGCTCCGTGGAACGAAAACGCGCAGGGAAGGGTTCGTCGAGGGATTAGGCGGCGACGGGGAGAGGCTAGAGGGTGATCAGGCCCCTATATCCTTCTTAAGGCACACGCTGGGTTTGTTAGGCTCCGCAGCGCTTAGAGTTCTTCACAAGACATGAAGTCCTCCTTCTCCTCCTCCAGATCGTTGCGGAGTCCTCCCTTGCGGGGTTCTCCTTGGAGTTCTCCAACTTGGGCGGAAACTGCTCAAGCCTCTTATACGGCTAGCAAGCCAATCACTAGCCGCCACGTGGGAATAATTTAGAACTGGCCAATAGTGGGGAACAAATTTGCATGCGGGTGGCGGGAACTCCTTTGCACCGGGGTTTTCTCTTTGCAACTGAGAATTGCACCGTGCAAAGAAAGCTCCTCGTGGCGGGAAATAATTCTGCAGTGCCGATGCACACACAAAATTATACCCTTGGGTTATGACACTAATGACAGAGAAATCTCTCAATTCACCTCTGATATATATATATATATATAAGATGACCTCTCTTAGAAACCAGAAAAGACTGGCTGACATTTCTTTAAAAAACAACAAACCCTTCAAAGTATGTAAGGGACTGGATTTTTCTAACACCCATGTCATACTGGTTATCTGCAGAAAAAATCAATTTGGCCTCCTACCCCTACTATTTGAGATCATAGATAAAAATATTACAAAACCTCAATAGTACCTGTCTGTGTTCACTTAAGCCTGCAACTTTAGCAGCATTTCTGTTGTGTTTAATACCCCTCACATTTATCTGCTTTTCTGCATCATGATGTCATGGAATCATAGAAAAGTAGGTCTGGAAGGGACCTCCAGAGGTCATCTAATCCAACCCTGTCTGAGGCAGGATCATCCCTATCCAAACCATCCTATCTAAATGCATTGTCCAACCTATTAGCAAAGCCACAGTCAGCTCTGACACAACTAAGTCTAACAACTAGAAAGGAAACATGGGAGCTAAGCTAAAGGGAGACTGAAGTGAGCTGCTGCTCATGAAAGCTCTTATACTGTTATTCAGTTATGATATAGAAGTGGTTCTTGGGCTTTTTCAGACTCAAGGCACTCCTGGCTAGACCCAAGGCACCATTCCAAAACTGCCAGCTCTTGTTTTTTGACTAAAATAAAATAACAGAGCAATAAAATAAAAATAACAGTGCTAACGTGTCATGGCCTTGTTACAGCCTTGAGACAATCCCAAGACACTCCAGTGGTGCTGCCTCACCTGGTTGAGAATCACTGATCTGTAGGATGCACCCTAGTCCAACCCCTGCGTAAGGAAGGATCATCCCTATCCAAACCACCCTATAGGTTTCCCTCGCTTTGTGCGGGTTCTGTATGTGTGAATTTGCTCTTATGCAACAACCCTTTTTATACCAAAAATACGTTATATGCGAGGTAAATTCACTCTTATGTGATTGGTGTGGTGGAAGCCTGCAGTCAGCTGCTTTGTGCAGCGCATTGTAGGAGTGATGCGCACTAAAATATAGTCTCTTGTGTGGTTCTGTGCTCCTGACTTGTTGTCTGAGACGTGTTTCTGTAGTTGCCATCCCCATTATGAGTGTGCCCTGTTGGTGAGTACCAGAATTGTCTTGTAAAAGTGGCAGAAATGGGTCTGGGAGTCAGAACAGTCAAGGTCTTGGAACGTATCGCTATTTGTTACACCATAAAGTGGGTCCCTTTGTGCAAAATCAAGTTATGCGCTGTTTTCCAGGAATTCATGTACCGCATAAAGCAAGGAAACCTGTATAAATCCACTGTCTAGCCCAGGGGTCGACAACCCCCGGCATCCGTGCCAAGCATGGCACGCGAGGCAATTTTGCTTAGCACCCACAGCCAGCCCCAGCTCTGAGAAGATGCTTCCAGCAGGGCTTGCAGCGTCCCAGCTGCCTGCTGGGAGCCGCCCGGGCTCCCGGCTGGCAGCAGCTCCCCAGAACCGGGGCAGCTGCGGCGGGAGGCTCCAAACAGTTATGCCGGGCTCCGGCACCAGCTCCACACCGGCGCGTGCACCAGCGCCTTGGAGCAGGCAGCGAAGG